CCCCCCCCCCCCCCCCTCCCGGTGTTTGCCATCGGGTTGGGCTTTCGTCGCTTGGCAACGACGCTGAAAAACAAGCCGATCACTTCGTGAGCTCGGGAACCAGGTTACCTTTTTTTTTTTGCATCTGTTTTTTTTTTTCGGTAACTGCGATGGTGGTCGAGTGGATCACGTTGTGCGGGGTCGAGAACCCTCACTCCGCGCAAGGGGGATGATCGCACCACGTTGTGTTAAATTGGTCAAGAAACCTCGAGGCAGTTACACACCGCTCATTTCTGTCTCAGGAAGTGTTAATTGGTCAAGAAACCTCGAGGCAGTTACACACCGCTCATTACTGTCTCAGGAAGTGAAAGCACCAGAAAACTTAAAAAGTCATTCGCAGCTGTCATCCGTACGCAAGGAAGTAGCCACAAGACGCCGAAAGCCCGTAGCAGGATGCAACGCACCCTTCATGCGACTCGCCGAATATCTCACGGCGCTTCGCGCTTGGTGGTGTGAGAGCCTGGTCCGGTGAGAACCCGGCGTGCTCCGTCCCGGCTTGTGGGGATGCGAGGTCAACGGTCTAACGACTACGGCATGCACCACTATGAGTACACCCCCCCCCTGCCCCAGCCGCCCGCCTCCCTTCAACGAGGGTTTGATCTCACCTTGTGGTTCCCCGCCTTCCTCTCGAACTCCCCCGTGTAGTCCGTGTTCCTCTGCCAGTCCGTCAGGTCGATGTGCGGCAGCCCGCACATGAGCAGCTCAAGCTCCTGGAAGTCGAACACCGACAACAACGCCTCCGGAATTACGTCGTAGAAACCCACCAGGAACGCCGTGAGCTGGTCGCGCATGCGCATCAAAAGCCGGTGCTTGAGCACGAGCTCCACGTACTCCCCGATGTTGTCGTTCGTAACGTCGATCTCGGCACCGCCTTCCTTCAGGTCCACGACCTCCATCGACCCCAGGCGGTCCTCCGTGACCGTGAAGTCTAAACAGCACACCTGGATGGGGGGGGGGGGGGNTGTTTTCTCAAAGATGGGTGTTCGTTTCCAAGGCTCGATGTTTTTTCCCCGAAATCGGTCCAAAAGGCCGCACGTCATTAGACGTCATTAGACGGACACATCCAACACGACAACGTCGCCTGCTGACCGGAATCGACAGACAACACAACATGGTCGGGCAAAACTGGTGCCAGAACAAACGTTGACCGAACTATCTGGGGTCCCTGCAATACTTGGCCCCCCCCACTCTTGACCGTCGGCGTTACTCCCGTTCTACACCAACCCCTTGCCCAGACAGCATATTTCTCGCCGGTGTCCTGTCCTGTCCGGACTACCTACGTAACGAAAGTAGGTTTGGTACGAAGCAGACTCTTAACCCTAACTTAGGCAATCGCATGACTGTATCCAGTAGTTCGCTAAACTTAATAAAAAAAGTGTTGATTCTTGTCCTTACCTCAACGTCATCAAGCTCGGTCATCTTGATGAGGGATTCGTGGGTGAAGTGATCGACGTGCTCTAGGTCGCTGAAGGCGATCGGCCAGCCCAGGAGGTGCTTGTACAGCGGCCGGACGAGATGCGCCTGAACTAGCTGGCCGTCGAACAGCGCCTTGCCCAGTAACCTGAGGCGACGCACGGTGTTCAGAACCCATTGTTGGGTGGTGTTGTTTGCTGTGGATGTGTGCGTGTGTCGCTTGCCGAAGTGAACCACGTGCGAAACATGAGCGTTGTTGGTCGATATTGCATTGGTTGTTTCCTGTCGTCATCGTCAGTTTGTCGAGATGAACCACAGGCGAAGAAACGAGAGCGTTTTCGTTGCTGCTTGCGTTTGGATGCTATTCGCTGTTTGTTCTATGATACTTGTCGAGAGATGTACAGTAAGTACCACGTGCGAGAATGTGAGCGCGTAGGCCTGTCGTGGCGTTTACTGTCGTGCCGTTGACGCCAAAATCAAACACTTGCAATCATGTTCGCATTGGTGTCATAGTTTACCTCCACACTCCTACCGTATATGACCTAAGATAACACACACCCCTGGACCGATTTTCAAAGCTCGGTTACTCCACGACGAAGAGGATGCATAAACGAAATGATACATTTTCGAAAAGCTCTCTCGGCGAGATGGTTTCAACGCCGCCGTTCCGGCGCTGTGACTGTTCCTGCAGATGAGAAATAGAGCTTCGAAAATCGGTCAAGGGGATGTGTTATCTTGTGTCAAATACGGTATACAACAACCCAACGACGCCATGAGAACGAAGCGACATCGGGCGATGGCTCCGCCGCCGTACAACCTGTTCAACACACACACCACAATATCAAGCCTTCCCCCCATCACTTTCTCCTCCATTACCTGCCGACGAAGTGGAAATGCTGCAGATGCTGCTCGTTGGCCACCCCGGAGTTCGCACTGATCTGCATACACATCTGGTTGATGCTCGAGTACTGGAACAACGCGAAGTCGGGGTTGAAGACCCTGGCAGGGAGAGAGGGACACGCCAGCGAGGGGCCGCGAAAAGAGAAAAAATGCATCAAACCAAAAATCAAAGGCGCTCTCGACCTAAGGATCAGGCTGGAAATACTTTTGTTTTCGCTGTGAGGCCGACGCTGGTGATGAGGAACGTAACGTGCTGGGTGTAGGATGTGCAATTTGCACACGCGTACCAAGGGCACCGAATTTGAAAATAGTATCTCTGGCTGTACGTTGACAAGAGAGATAACCGGCACACAATGCCGCCGAAGGAAGGTATGATTAGTCCCCATCTCACACGGAATCTGGCACGCCATACACTCCTGTGGGGTCCACATGCATATACAATCAGGTGCCGATATTGCAAGACGGATTCTGCCAAGATTTTGTTGTTGCCTTCCCCCCACTCCCTTCTACGAACACTGGAGCCCCCCCCCCCCCCCCCCCCCCCCC